ATCCACCATCACAACAACATAGCCATGTGGAATCGAACGGCAGTGAAAACTTCCGTCAGGTTGAGGAGGTGCAACAGAGCCGACGGCCGCCTAGATGAACTAGGACGTGCGTCATGATATTGAAGAAGGATGGTGGGAACACCAGCTCGAAACTAACAAGACATTGCACCACATCACTCCTTAACCTTGGTAGGATTTCTGGATCGATCACCATCTGAGAGATTGCATTGAGGAATGCACATAGCTTCACAATGGCTAATCGAACGTTTTCCGGTAGAAGCCCCCTCAATGCAACCGGAAGCAGTTGTGTCATAATCACATGGCAGTCATGAGACTTTAGGTTCTGGAACATTTTCTTTGGCATATTTATTATTCCCTTTATATTCTACGAGAAGCTAGACGGGACCTTCATACTGAGCAGGCATTCAAAGATTTCCTTCTCTTCTTTGGTAAGAGCGTAGCTGGCAGGACCTTCATATTGCTTTGGAGGCATGTCGTCTTTTTCGCGCACACGTTACTGGTCCTCCGGTGCCTCCGACGTATCTTTTGTCTTCCCATACACGCCCAAGAAGCCTAGCAGGTTCATGCAAAGATTCTTCATCACGTGCATCACGTCGATTGAAGAGCGGACCTCTAGGTCTTTCAAGTAGGGTAGGTCCCAAATTATAGATTTCTTCTTCCACATGGGTGCGTGTCCCTTAGCGTCATTCGAAACAGATAGTCCGCCGGGACCCTTTCCAAAGATTACTTGTAAATCATTGACCATAGCAAGTGTGTGATCACTGGTACAAACGGCGGGCTTCTTCCGGTGATCTGCCTCGCCTTTGAAATGTTTGCCTTTCTTTCGACACTGATGGTTGGTCGGAAGAAATCGATGATGCCCCGGGTACACATGCTTCCTGCATTTGTCTAGATATATAATGTCGGTGTCATCTAAACAGTGCGTGCATGCGTGATATCCCTTGTTTGTCTGTCCTGAAAGGTTAGTGAGAGCAGGCCAATCATTGATGGTTACTGATGACCCACAAGTGTAGGGGATCTATCGTAGCCTTTTCGATAAGTAAGAGTGTCGAACCCAACGAGGAGCAGAAGGAAATGATAAGCGGTTTTCAGCAAGGTATTCTCTGCAAGCACTGAAATTATCAGTAACATATAGTTTTGTGATAAGGTAATTTGTAACGGGTAACAAGTAATAAAAGTAAATAAGGTGCAGAAATATGGCCCAATCCTTTTTGTAGCAAAGGATAAGCCTGGACAAACTCTTATATAAAGGAAAGCGCTCCCGAGGACACATGGGAATTATCGTCAAGCTAGTTTTCATCACGCTCATATGATTCGTGTTCGGTACTTTGATAATTTGATATGTGGGTGGACCGGTGCTTGGGTACTATCCTTCCTTGGACAAGCATCCCACTTATGATTAACCCCTATTGCAAGCATCTGCAACTACAATAGAAGTATTAAGGTAAACCTAATCATAGCATGAAACATATGGATCCAAATCAGCCCCTTACGAAGCAACGCATAAACTAGGGTTTAAGCTTCTGTCACTCTAGCAACCCATCATCTACTTATTACTTCCCAATGCCTTCCTCTAGGCCCAAACAATGGTAAAGTGTCATGTAGTCGACGTTCACATGACACCACTAGAGGAGAGACAACATACATCTCAACAAAATATCGACCGAATACCAAATTCACATGACTACTTATAGCAAGACTTCTCCCATGTCCTCAGGAACAAATGTAACTACTCACAAATCATATTCATGTTCATAATCAGAGGGGTATTAATATGCATAATGGATCTTAACATATGATCTTCCACCAAGTAAACCAACTAGCATCAACTACAAGGAGTAATCAACACTACTAGCAACCCACAAGTACCAATCTGAGGCTTTGGGACAAAGATTGGATACAAGAGATGAACTAGTTTGAGATGAGATGGTGCTGGTGAAGATGTTGATGGAGATTGACCCCCTCCCGATGAGAGGATCGTTGGTCATGATGATGGTGATGATTTCCCCCTCCCGGAGGGAAGTTTCGCCGGCATAACAGCTCCGCCGAAGCCCTAGATTGGTTCTGCCAAGGTTCCGCCTCATGGCAGCGGAGTTTCTTCCCGAAATCTTGGTTATGATTTTTTTCCTCGACGAAAGACTCCATATAGACAAAGATGGGCATCAAAGGGCTACCAGGGGGCCCACGAGGCAGGGGGTAGGGCGCGCCCAGGGGGTAGGGCGCGCCCCCACCCTCGTGGACGGTGGGTGGCCCCCCTCTGGTACTTCTTTCTCCCAATATTTTATATATATTCTGAAACGTGCTCCCGTGAAGTTTCAGGACTTCTGGAGATATGCAGAATAGGTCTCTAATATTTGCTCCTTTTCCAGCCCAGAATTCCAGCTGCCGGCATTCCCCCCTCTTCATGTAAACCTTGTAAAATAAAAGAGAATAGGCATAAGTATTGTGACATAATGTGTAATAGCAACTCATAATGCAATAAATATCGATATAAAAGCATGATGCAAAATTGACGTATCAGTTACAAACAACAACACATGTAGGTCAAATTCTTGTTGTTTGTGATCATCCCACACACGTACACCATTTCCATTCCACAGCTATAAAAGTTCTTCAACTAATGGCCTTAGGTACACATCAATGTCGTTGCCGGGTTGCTTAGGGCCTTGGATGAGAACTGACATCATAATGAACTTCCGCTTCATGCACAGCCAAGGAGGAAGGTTATAGATACATAGAGTCACAGGCCAGGTGATGTGATTGTTGCTCTGCTCCCAAAAAGGATTAATGTCATCCGCGCTTAAACCAAACCATACGTTCCTTGCTTCACCTACAAAGTCCTCCCAGTACTTTCTCTTGATTTTTCTCCACTGCAACCCGTCAGCGGGTGCTCTCAACTTCCCGTCTTTCTTACGGTCCTCTCTGTGCTTCCTGCATTTGTCCAGATATATAATTTCGGTGTCATCTAAACAGTGCGTGCATGCATGGTATCCCTTGTTTGTCTGTCCTAAAAGGTTAGTGAGAGCATGCCAATCATTGATGGTTACAAAAAACAACACATGTAGGTCAAATTCCTGTTGTTTGTGCTCATCCCACACACGTACACCGTTTCCATTCCACAGCTGTAAAAGTTCTTCAACTAATGTCCTTAAGTACACATCAATGTCGTTGCCGGGTTGCTTAGGGCCTTGGATGAGAACTGGCATCATAATGAACTTCCGCTTCATGCACAGCCAAGGAGGAATGTTATAGATACATAGAGTCACGGGCCAGATGCTGTGATTGTTGCTCTGCTCCCAAAAAGGATTAATGTCATCCGCACTTAAACCAAACCATACGTTCCTTGCATCACCTACAAAGTACTCCCAGTACTTTCTCTCAATTTTTCTCCACTGCGACCCGTCAGCAGGTGCTCTCAACTTCCCGTCTTTCTTACGGTCCTCTCTGTGTCATCGCATCAACTTGGCATGCTCTTTGTTTCTGAATAGATGTTTCAACCGTGGTATTATAGGAGCATACCACATCACCTTGGCAGAAACCCTCTTTAGGGGGCGCTCGTTGTCAACATCACCAGGGTCATCTCGTCTGATCTTATATCATAATGCACTGCATACCGGGCATGCATTCAAATCCTCGTACGCACCGTGGTAGAGGACGCAGTCATTAGGGCATGCATGTATCTTCTGAACCTCCAATCCTAGAGGGCATACAACCTTCTTTGCTGCGTACATACTATCGGGCAATTCGTTATCCTTTGGAAGCTTCTTCTTCAATATTTTCAGTAGTTTCTCAAATCCTTTATCAGGTACACCATTCTCTACCTTCCACTGCAACAATTTCAGTGTTGTACCGAGCTTTGTGTTGCCATCTTCGCAATTGGGGTACAACCCTTTTTGTGATCCTCTAACATGCGATCGAACTTCAACTTCTCCTTTTTCACTTTCGCATTGTCTCTTTGCATCAACAATGACCCCGCGAAGATCATCATTAGGCACATCATCTGGTTCCTCTTGATCTTCAGCTTCCCCCCGTTGTAGCATCACCATATTCAGGGGGCACATAGTTGTCATCATCCTCTTCTTCTTCGGTGTCTTCCATCATAACCCCTCTTTCTCCGTGCTTGGTCCAAACATTATAGTGTGGCATGAAACCCTTATAAAGCAGGTGGGTGTGAAGGATTTTCCGGTCAGAGTAAGACTTCGTATTCCCACATATAGGGCATGGACAACACATAAAACCATTCTGCTTGTTTGCCTCAGCCACTTCGAAAAAATTATGCACGCCCTTAATGCACTCAGAGGTGCGTCTGTTACCGTACATCCATTGCTGGTTCATCTACGTGCATTATATATAAGTAAGTGTGTCAAAAACCATTACAGAACATCATGAATACAGAAATGACCAAATTAATAGAAGTTCATCATCACATTAAAACCAAAGTACATACATAGTTCTCATTGAACAACATATAGCTCTCCAGAGCATCTAATTAAACCATACATTGAAACTATCTAAAACATTTCAATGCAACAACAAATGCGATCATAATCGCAACTAAGGTAACAATTGATCCAACGGCATAATGATACCAAGCCTCAGTATGAATGAGAGCGGCGATGGCACGGACGGGCTCGCACGCTCCTGCTATCCGGCAAGGACGGAGTGGTGACGCGTGGCGTATAGTATTAAATGCAATTGTATGTACAAAGCATCGTTACATGCGTTCGCAAGCGAGTTGACGAAGACGGTGACGGCGAATCTAACGAGGGAGAATCGGTACAGGATATTATTGTTCCGTTGGTACAGATGGGTTGTGACTGCTCACGTTACAATTCCGTCTCGTGATTCCGTTGCATAAACGCCGCATGCGGGATGCCTAGGTGAATACTATAATGTAGGGCACCGTCATCTGTCCGGGGCTGGAAAGTAAAAGCAGATCTGTCTTCTACCCCTGGGGCGGTGGCGATAGCGAGGAGCTCATGGCTATGGAGGTCGCGACCGCCGGAGAGGAGGAAATTGATTTCTTGTCCGATCCGGTCGACAGGTAAACCTTGCCGCTCCCACTTTATGTTCTCTGTGGTAGGATAGAGCAGTTCCTTACTTTCATACTCGTCCCGCTTGAAAAATAGATTTCCACTGCTGGATCTAGACGGAGCAGAACCGCTGTTGAAACATGGTGCGAACCAAGCGCCAGTGTGCGGGCCTGCTGAATCCAGCATTGCTGAAGCGGGAGATGCCATAGTAGCCATGGAAACTGATCTGAACAGCACTTGCGAAGCAGTAGTGCTGTCTGCAGCAGCTTCAGAGCAGTCTACAGGGAAAGACAACCCTGAAGCCCCTGGCTGGACGACGAGGTACATCTGCACGGCATTAGCTTTACTGCATTTGATTTGTGCACTAATTGTTCCTCCATGTGCATGCCGTGTGCTAAAACACCTAAGTGAAAAAAAATCTAAAAATATACATCTCTATACATGCAGAATCCGGGTTGGGCATGTACCTGAGGAAAGACCCCCATGTGCTTCTAGGATGAGTGCGCTGGAACTAACACTGCGAAGCTATGCAGAAAACAAAACTGAAACTGTCATAGTTCCTGCTGTGGGAAGGAACTTTGATACACTCGGTGAAGCTTGTGATTACTACAATCTATATTCATGGGAGGTTGGGTTTGGAGTAAGAGGCAAAAGCCGACTAAATGTCGAAAGAACCAAATGCATGCAGGAGATAGTTTGTGGATGTTCGGTGAGTAGTCATTTACTGTGATACGTATCGCTGCCTATGAGTGAAGATGTTATTGACAAATACTGTGATGTTCGTTTTTTTGTACATTTTCAGGGAATACCAAAGAAGGATAACAAACGTACATGCCGATGTAGATGCCCTGCTATGATATGGCTGCTGTGTTCAGCCGATAATGGCTGGTATATAAATGAGTACAGGACAGATCACAACCATGCTCTCACTGAAAAATGTGGTGAGAAAGTTTACTGGCCTTCACACAAGCATATTGATATATACACACGTGATGTGATTAAACAACTCCGTGAAAACAACATTAGCGTTGGCAAAGTTTACAATATAATCGGAAGTTTCTTCGGTTCAATGAGCAATGTACCATTCACCAAAAGAGCTCTCCGAGGGTTGTGTGGCAAGATCAGTCGTGAACAAGCTGATAATGATGTGAAGAAGACAATGGATGTTTTTGCAGAATTAGGAGCAAAAGATTCTGGGTTGTACTACAGAGTACAGCCTGACGAAGAAAGCCGCATACGCAATCTGTTATGGTCAACTGGTGCCAGCAGAGCACAATAGTACTACTTTGGAGATGCAATAACCTTTGATACAACTTACCGCACAAACATGTATGACATGCCATTTGGACTGTTCGTTGGAGTCAACAATCACTTCCAGAGTGTGATATTTGGTGGTGTGCTCATCAGGGATGAGACAGAGGAAAGTTTCAAGTGGGTCTTTAGTGAATTCATCCGCATGATGGGTGGGAAGCATCCACAAACAATACTAACTGGTGAGGAATGCAATAAGATATTTTGCTTAATCTCTCGTATTGTCGAACACTGTGTTGTCAGAGTACTGACATAATATGATGACTTTCGATTTTTCTTGTAGACCAATGCAGAGCAATGGAATTAGCTATTGAGAAAGTTATGCCTGACACAACACACCGATGGTGCAAATGGCATGTGCTCAAAAAAGCAAAGGGATATCTTGGGTCGTATTACACGAAACGCAGCAAATTCAAGTCAGATTTCCACAAAATAGTACAGCACATGTTGAAAGTAGACGAATTTGAATCAGCATGGGAGCAGATGATTGAAACATATGGTCTGCAAAAGAACAATTACCTCACCCAGATATATGAGACAAGAGAGAAATGGGCGAAGCCATATTTCCATGGAAAGTTTTGTGCTAAGATGACCAGGACGCAGCGCAGTGAAAGTGCCAACCACATGTTGAAGACTTATGTTCCAACTAGTTGTCCAATGCATCTATTTGTTCGTCAGTACATGTGGCTTCTTTTTGATAGAGAGGCAAGTGAGAACTATGAAGAGAGGAGAACCAAAATAGTAAGTTTTTTAGAAATTGTTATTCGGATTTTGTTAGTGTGTGATGTCATGTCATCTTATAAATATAATGTCTGCTTTTTCAGGTGTCCCCTGTAATGAGAATGAACACACCCTTGGAGCATCATGCTAGCAAGGTGTACACTCGAGCTATATTTGACATGTTTGGCCAAATCACATATGAAGCATCACAGTACAGAGTTGAAGAAGTTGAAAAAGGTAAAACATACTTTGTCAGACGACACCATCCAGAAAAACATGAAATGTGGTGTAGGGTTCTATATAAGGTAGAACTTGTTGATGATGGACCACAAGTGTTTTGTGAATGTGGCAATTTCGAGCACACTAGCCTGCTCTGCTGCCATGCTGTCAAGGTAATGCACTGCCACATCCTGCTGCTAAAAAATCTGAAAAGTTCTCTTTTGAATGCATGTATGATGAAACACCACCTATGTGTGACAGGTACTGGATTTCATTGGCATAGATCACATACCAGAGAAGCATATTCTCAAACATTGGACGAAAGATGCACGAGATATACTGCCAGCCCATCTGTCATACCTTCAGAAGGATAGCATTTCTGTAAAGTCAGTAACATTCAGACATTCAAATCTCTACAGCCATGCACTTGAAGTCGTGAGGTTAGGGGATGCAAATCTAGAGGCATATGGGATTGCAATGGAAATGCTCAAGATAACAATGGATAAGTTAACACCTGTAGGTGCTGCCCGTGATGGCATGGGATTGGAGGACAGAACTCATCGGATGCAACTTAAAGACAAGGAACCCGTTCCAGCAATCGCATACACCAGCGGCAATGCAAGTGATGCAGAAGGCAGCGCTATCGGTGATTTTGTAGGGCTGAAAGCACCGGAGCAGAAAAGGAAAGCTGGGCGACCTACCAACAACAGAGATAAACCTCCATACGATGATCAGGGTGCAAAAAGCAAAAGGTTAAAACAATGCAGACCTACTGAAGATGGTGACAAGTGCGGCACGAGCAAGCGCACTCGTTTCTGCAGCATATGCCGCGAACCTGGACACAAGAGCACAACTTGTCCGCAAAGAGGTGATCTTCCTCAGAAGGAAAGGAAGGAGGCAAAATGCTCAAATTGTGGAGTCGGTGGCCATAGGAGAAACACCTGCAACAAGCCAAGAGTTGTTCTCCATATTGCTGCCAACACTGATATAGACGCAAATAGAATTAGTGCTTTGGTTTGAACTCATGTGATACACGATGTTGAGGGCTTTGCAGCCAGTAGATGATAACTCTCTGTAATAAGACATGGCATTTGTTGTTGTGCGGCACAAATCTTGTAACTTATTGTGGTCTGAAAAAAATTTCTGCTCTGTATTTTCAAAATGGAAGTTTATTTTTCTATAAATTCATTTCCCCGAGTGTATATATTCACTTCTACCTTAGTCCTCGCATGCAGCATTAAAATCCTATCGCGGGTGTGGATGACAGCTGTGAACACAAGCCATGATGTGTGCGCTGAGCGCGAACCGCCCGCCATTTGAATTTTGTACTGATCGGGCGCGCTCGGGGCACCACGCTATGCTTAAATACCGATACCTTGCCTCTCGTCCAGCACCCCTGACTCTCACACCAACCTCCACCACTTGCCACCCAAATCCCCCCAAGCCCTCTACATCCTGCTGCCTACGAGCAAGGTGTGCAAAAAGCAAATCGGTGTGTGCATACCACATACAAGTTTACACAAGTGATACAATTCTATCAGCAAAGCTAAGCATGTCAGACTGCATCCTACTCCGCAGCAATGACATGCTCAGCGTGCACTTTGCATTCTGCTGCTTCAGCATCAGGCTCAGCTCTTCAAGGACCTGCAGATTGCACAATGCTTGTCTTAAAAACCGATATCCATCAACATTTCAACAATAAAAAGTCATTGCATTACCCACCCAGAACCCCACCTAATTAGATGAACAAAACTTACCGGATCACCGTAGCAAGTCTGGCGCAAATGATTTGCAAAATCCCTTGGCCCAAGTGAATGATATGCCGACCTCACATCACCCAAATAGTCATCTGGTGTCGTCGTTGCATGCACACCCAAATCCGGAGTCCGTTGGTCCACTCTATTAGGCACCCTTGGAACTGATTGCTTCACTGAACCTGATGATACATGGTAGTCAATGCATCCTTGGCGCGTCGTGTCTGGCCGCGTGTACATAACTAGCTCCGCAGGCCGCACCTACAAGCATGGAACAAAAAAACTTAGACAAACACAATCACTTCTCAACCTCGACTGAAATGATTTTTTAGACCAACAACTACAAAAAAGATACCCCTGCAGGGACATAACCCCACTTCCCGTGCTTCATGCCATAAGCCATTATGATCATCTGCCGAAACCTTTTCTGTTCGAAGTACTGCACGCGGGGCAATTCAGATGGCAGCATATTGAACAATCCAAGGTCAATGTTATCCAGCAAGAAAAGCTGCCATGGATTATAATCAAGTAAGCAACAAGAATTCAATAGTACACACACATCGCTTCCTGAAAATCCACACCCAAACTATGAAAACCTAAAAATGTGTTCACCTGGAAAAAAAGGTGGCACGCAAACATATGAACCGTTGTCGCTTTGCTTTGATAATCATTCTGCAACTTCACAACAGCTGACATCAATTTTTGCATAGCATACTCACACCAATTGAACTGCAGGATCAATTCTGGATTGGCCAGAGCACCCCAGAAATCAATGGTCATGGTGTCATGCTTGGTACACGATGCTATCAAATAGCCCATGACAAAGATGACGAATGCAATTTGAAAACAATCATTTTCAATTTTACTCGAATCCTCTGAAATATCTCTACTTATAAAACCTTCAGCCACCTTCAGATTATGAGCAATTGTACTGTCCATCCCAATTGACTGCTTGATGAAATTGATTGCAGACTGAGAAATTTGTGCATCCCTGCCACCCACATCTCGATTCCCGCATGGGATGCCAAAAACCCTGTGGAAATCTTCTGTTGTGAAACCAATCGTATTGTCATTATCAATGGCGATTGCACGACACCGAGCATTCACCTTCCTCATAACCCAAGCACTCATCCTCAGGTCCAACTTGACAAGCATTGGGAGCTTCAGAATTGCACCAAAACCAATTTCGGTTACAAGCCATCTCTTGTATTCATCAAATTTTGCAACCATCTCTACAACACGCTTAACTGACAACCGAGAAGTAATAACTGGCTGATGTTCTTCTGTCGGATCAAGTGCAGGCTCTCCCTCACCCACCGCTCCATCAGAAAAATCATGTTCCTCAAACTCTTCGTCCATCTACAATATTGCAACTGAATCACTACATGGATCTACTCCTCAATTCCAAGCTACAAAATCTATATGCAAAACTACATGCCACAGCCGAAATTAGATCTGACGCCATGAAAAACGTACCAGCGAATACCCGGGCAACGAGGCACCAAGCGCCGCACCCGAGCAGCTACTGCAAACCTCCCTTCAGAGCCGACGGAGAAGATACCTGCTTCACGAGATCCAGATCTAGCGACCTTTCTTTGAACTAAAGCTCCGGTTGTGACGTCTCTGACTGGATAGTCATTCAGATGCGGATAAGGGGGTAGGTGGTCAAGCACATCGGACAAGGCTCTGGGCGATTTAGATGCCAAGGGATGCACGGGCCAGGCCAGTCTACGCACGACGGGCCAGCCCACCAGAACGGACAGCCCAATCACTTTGAGGGACGAGGAGTACTACTGTTACACGCTTGTTTCACCTCCTATGCATTAATATTACTGACCGGATATTAAAAATCAAAAAAACTTGTGCTTGACGAATGTTAAACAAGCATCTGACAGTACAACAATTTTGTATAGAAAATCTTAATAATGTATATGAAATTAAGCAGCGTGTGCAAAAAAAATTAAGCAGCATGTGCAAAAAAATGTTCAAAAGTGTATAAATAAAATGTTTCTCTTGCCTATTATATACAGCATGTGTGAAAGGAGTTAATCATTACTTATAAAAATTATCAAGCATTTGAATAATGGTGAAAACAAGTATTAAAAACATATTATCGGCCAATTTAAAAAATGTAAATGCATAAAAAAAAGAACGACCACCCATGAAAAAGCAACACTTCTGTTTAAAATATTTATATGTGTTTATAGAAAATGTTGCCATAATAAAAGATGTAATTCTTTTATTTTCAAAAAAAATCATTATCAATCAATTTAAAAGCATACTAAAAAATATGCATCTAAAAAAATATGGACATATATAAAAAATATAAACTTGTATTTTAACAAATATATCTTTGCCGTACAGGAATAAATGTAAAAACTAAATCTAAGTAACACAAAAGGAATAAAAAAATTATGCCTGAATATCTGCATACAAACAATGGTTAACCATGTTGGTGACCATCCGTTTCATACATGCACGCCAGCTCCTAAAAATCAAGGCTTAAAATGCAAAAAGGAAAAATGAAATTCATGCTGAAAAGCCTTCTCTCTAAACTCCCATTCTGACAGGATAAAAAAAGACATATTTCACACACCGTAGGCATCATCATTCATAGTATCACACAGGACATTACATCTGCAGCTCGTCCACACTTAGCACTACATGGTTACAGCGTCACGTCCACACATCGACCAACTAGAAAAGCATAACGTAATTTTGCATAACACTAAGCCTATGCCTAGTTAACCACTCTACCGTCTCGGCCAGATAAGAACGGCCACGTCACCTAATTAACCAGGCGCAGGACAACATCTACCACCAACAACAGCAGAATTGCCACCCCAATTACCAGGTTTGCTACAGATACCACCAGGTTGATGGAGGCGGTGTCGGCGACTGTCACACCCTGCCGACCGGCAGCTGGAGCTGCCGCGAGCATATATCATGCGACCGCACTAGCAAACGATGCAGCCTGCGACGCCTCCGGCGGCCCATTTTGCTGCACCGGCTGGCCGTGATCAGCCTGCACAACTTGAGCTTCGACAGCTTGCCCACCCTGCATCTGACCCGGACCGATTTGACCCACAGCAGCTTCTCCTCCTTCAAGATTGGCCAGATGCGCTGCATAGCCTTCCTGCCACCTGTAGAAATTGCATCCGCCCGCTGAAGGCTGCAATGGATCCACAAGAACACGTACCTCGTGATAATCTACCCAGCTAAACATCTCAAAAAACACCCATACCCAATCCAAGAAACTGGACTTACGTTGTGATTCCGGCACTTGTAGAAACACCGACCGGCGTTCTGCCCGCGCCTAGCAACGTAGGTCACCACGTTCCTGCCGCAATCCGGACAAGGCACGATTGGCAGAGCAGCTGGATCCGCCATCTTCGATACCTAGGGATCTATCTGCTCCAATTTGGTGCGACCTAGAAGAAACTGTGGGGCGAGTCTAGGGTTTCGTCTTGCGATTTGGGGATCGAATGGGGACCAGATCTAGAAGGGCCCGTGGATTGCGTTAAATACATCCAGTGGGCCGCCAACTACTTACTGTACCTCACCGTTACAGGCCGTCTCGTACTTCCGGTACACACAAGTCCAGAACAGTAGACAGACGACGCGTTACATAAACACCGTGAAATCCTCGTCTAATGCCCGAGCCACCAACGTCTCTTGCCCGTTACGTACGCACATTAACTGTACTCACCCGTCGCGTACAATACAGCGGGCCCCTCGCGCCTCCAGCGGATCGAACGCATACAGATTCCGAGAGCGCGCGAGCTCGTCCGCGCCTAGCAATTATCACAGTATGAATGGCATATTTTCTAATATTTCTAATTTTCAAGCGCATTGCATCCATCTTGATCTTGTGATCATCGACGACATCCGCAACATGCAACTCCAATATCATCTTCTCCTCCTCAAATTTTTTCAATTTTTCCTTCAAGTAATTGTTTTCTTCTTCAACTAAATTTAACCTCTCGACAATAGGGTCGGTTGGAATTTCTGGTTCACATAACTCCTAGATTAAAAAAATCCATGTCACGTTTATCGGCATAATTGTCATAAACACTAAATGAAACAAATAGTTATAAAAGATAATATATATACCACATCCGAATCAGAGACAGGACGAGGGCCGACGGAGGAGGATACCAAAACCATCGCACTATATAATATCAAACAATAATAAAAGTAAGAAAATTACACAAGTATCTATGTAAATCATACAAGTAAGAACTTTTTCTTTTAGAAAGAAGATAAGATAAAGAGGCTCACCAAGGTGGTGCCGGCGGCGAGATCGGCGCGGGCATTTCATCGAACACCTCATGTGCATAGGAGGTGAGCTAGAGCACCACAAAGCTCTTCCACGGCCGGCCAAAAAAACAGAGCACTCCACTGCTCTGCTCGCGGGCAAGGGGGTATATATAGGCATCTATTTGGTCCTGGTTCGTGGCTGGAACCGGGACTAAAGGACACCATTTGGTCCCGGTTCCAGCTACCAACCGGGACCAATGGTTGTGGGGCACATTGGTCCCGGTTCCAGGCACATTGTTCCCGGTTCGTGTCTGGAACCGGGACCAAAGGGGCCAGACGAACCGGGACCAATGGCCCCCGAGGCCCGGCCGGCCCCCTGGCCTCACGAACCGGGACCGATGCCCCATGGGTCCCGGTTCATGAGTGAATCGGGACTAATGGGCTTACCCGGCCTGGACCAAAGCCATGTTTTCTACTAGTGATGCAACATCACCATCGCAAAAGCTTGTGGCACCTGTCGTTGTCACTTGTAGCACTCACTGTTGTCGCACGGAGCATCGACGACGGTCATTTGCAACACTGTCAGGCAATGCCCGCCTCGTCACATCACACAATGTCACCGTCGCAAAGCTTGCAGCACCCGCCCTCACCATACATAGCATCATCGTCTGCCCCTTGCATCACCATGCAATGGCGACCCTTGAAGTGGATGTCTCTTGCAACAGCTCGTGAGAGGCTTGCATCACCACTCCTGCCCATGTTGTGTCATCCTACTACCCCCTCCTCCCGGTAATGCAAGGCGAGCAGCGTCGGGTAGCAATGCATGTGCAAGGGGATGGGGGGGGGGTCACCCATGACTGTGTGGAGAGATCATCAGGCACAACACACAGGGTGGGGTGGGGGGTATGAGCGTGAGAGAGCTAGCGATAAAGGGATAATGGAGGAGGAAGTATATGCGGACAATAGTTTCAACGGAAATAAGTCAAGAGAAGATTGAAAAGGGTGCACATAGCGGACTGTTACAGACGTGTGTAGGACAAATTTTAATTGCACGATGTGAGCGATGCACACATCTTTTGAATACGAATCTAATGGTATAATGTGTCATATAACTCATACTTTGTTCACCCAAATTAGGATTAGAATTCGAGGGGCATTACATTTTAGGAAGGAAGTACGATGTGTAACCGGATACCAACCACGTGTTTCTAGCCATATGTGGATTTTTTTTGGCACATTCTACACTGTTATAACATCTCGTGTAAACTAATTACATTTTTAAACAAATCCTACCCTAGTACCCTACTATGAGAGCAACTATAATAAGATGACATAAACATGTTATAAGAGTTAAGAGTTACCATCTCAGATTTATGATGATGTGGAGGAAATAGGCGAGGAAAGAGAAGAAAGATGGGTTGTAAATAGTCAACTGCAACCTGAGCTCCAACACACTTTGTGAGAGAATAATGTGGGGCTAATCACTAATATTATGTATGATATAGATATATTATTCTTACTATTATGTCCTGAAAGATTCACACCTTTTATCTAAAAAAAGATTCACATCTATTACACATTTGTAAAATAGCTAAATCAAAACAGGTGCACCCTGCACCAGATATTTCCCCGAAGCGGCCCCAAGCCAAGCCCCACTCCGCCACACGAGTGAGCAGCATACGCGCGACAGACGATCCCGAACCCAGAGAGGGGGAACACGGAGCCGGCCGCGGAGGGGGAGCCCAGCCAAGCCAGCCAGAGTGAACAACCGTCCCAACCACCGACGGGCGGGCATGAGGGCCACCGAGATGTTGACCGCCGCGGCGGGGGCTGCCGCCGGGACGACGCCCTCCACGGCCTCGGTGGCCGGCCTGGCCGGGGCCAGCGGGGGCGTCCCCGCCGCGGGCGCCGGCGGGAACTTCCCCCTCGGCGCCGCCCTCCTCGCCTTCGCCTTCGCCAACCTCGTCAACGTCCTCTCCATCTGGTGCGCCCTTCCCTCCCTCCCTCCCGCCCGCTCTGCTAGATCCGACGCGCCCTCCGCTTCGCTGTCGGTGCGATCTCTTCAGGGTGTCGCTCCTGCGATCCGGTAGTTTTTTTTTTCTGCTGATAGAAAGCGTAGCGAAAGGGTTTCCTCTTTTGATGTGGAAGCAAGCGGCTTGCTTAGCGTTTCAGAAATCTTAGGTTCCGTTCACGGCGGAGACTAGAGGGATGAACTTGGCTGCAGTAGGAGGATTGTGTACGCAGACGAGGATTTATCGGTTCGATGCACGCCTATGCGATCTGTGTTGTGCCGTCTGCACTGAAATTCAGTACATGGTCTTATTCCTTGGAAAACCCATGCGCGATCGGTTAATCAGGCTGAGTTAGCTGTTACATTTTCCCGTTTGCTGCCAAAATAACTTGCAAGAGATTAGTACTGCTTTTCCAAAATCACTCAGTGGAACCAGAACTATTTCCACCGCACAACCGGACACCAGTATCGCATATATGTATATTGCGTCGCTGATAACTGAATAAGACTATCCTGCTCAAAGGAAAAGCGCATTACTGTATCTTCAGAACCATTGCAGTTGAATAGCAAGTTGGACAGTTGCGCTGCTGTTTCGTTAAGCTGTGCTTTGTTCGCCCTAGACATGCAGGTTAAAGGAGAAGAAGTGGGATGCAAGGAAGTTTCTTACATCTTCCGGAGTTATTTCATCTCTTTCTGCGGCCGTGGCAAGTTTGGCTGTGGCGGTTGGCCAACAAGAAGGCGGAGATAGCTCTGTTTTCGCCCTTGCATTGGTTTTTGCTGCCGTTGTATGTACTTGACCCAACCAGGTTCCATGCATTTCCTTTTTCAAGCAAGTGAATGTCGCAATCAAGAAAGTGCTTTTTCTCTCATAACTTGATATACTCGTGACTAGTTGCATCTCCGTTAAGAATTCTCTTCCCTTTTGGTATTATTTGTTGCTTTTAAAATGTAGTACATGTTTATCAATACCCCAATTCAGTAGGCATTTGATTGCTTCTTGCTTTGCTGGGGATGGACATGGATTTTCTCCAAAAGGCACCTTGCTGAAAGATAGTCTTGTCTATTAGCTTGATAGAGTGATTTAGTGAAAGAATAATAAGAAAATTCCAAAAATATGGCCTTGTCATTCATGAGGTGGTTAACTACTTTTATGGTCAACTTTTATAGTTGTGCAGTGACGCTGGATGTGCACATCTTCATCCTAAAGTGATTCCATTAATAAAGGTCTATAAAGCTTAGGAATAAGAGCTAATTTCGAATAATAAAGTGATAGGAGCTACTGTATTTGTGAGTTCACAAGCTGGTCTGTAACTTATGTACTTTAATTGTTGCCATGCCAAGTCTGCAGCTGTGCTCTAACATAATCGTCTGTCAGTTTAACTTTATGTTTTTCCTTTTCTCAAATCTTATTTAAAAAAAAAAGATCAGTCATGAGTGTATTCATATTCACATAAGCTCTTTTCTCAGTATGGGTTTCTAAGCATATATTTCTCGTTACAGGTAATGTATGATGCATCAGGAGTTAGGTTTCACACAGGCCGCCAAGCTGCGGTAAGCTCATGGTTTTGCACGCCCATTGTTCACATCAGTGATTTTTGCCTACTAGCAATATTTTTTTTATCGTGTTATTGTTTCATATTTTCACCTACCATGTTCCTAATGGTCTATTGTTTCCTTTCCATCCTCTAATAGTCTATTAAATTCTGCTGCAGTTGTTAAATCAAATAGTTTCTGATTTATCACCGGAACATCCAATTATCTCTACCTTCCGGCCGCTTCGGGAACCTCTTGGACACAGTCCATTTCAGGTAGCTCGATTCATATTTCACGCCAATTTAAGAAACTGAATTTGCCATTCAGACTTGTTACGCCCGCAACTCGCAGCTATTTTTAGGTGTACGTTTGTGCTGACTTATGCCTTTTTTGTGCAGGTTTTTGCCGGAGCCCTTGTTGGTTGTACAGTAGCGTATCTAATGGGGAATTCTTCTGTATGAGAAATACTGTAGTTGGCCATTTGCCTTATACTCAGATTACACTACTTTTATACGAGGAACATTTTTTGTGCAAAGTCTACTTTGTATCTCTGGCCATATAAAGTGCCCTTCTGTTGAACTGGTTGCGTGTGTTGTTCTTTGCTGGTTACAGCATATTTTGCGCTGGTAGATAGATGATGGTCGTCGAATTTACGACACCATGCAGCTGTCTCCTGGCTTGCTCTCTCGCCACCCTCCCAGGCCTTGCCGTCACCGGAGGAGGCCGCCAGGCTAAGCCCCTCGCCTTGTTCTTGTCTTCATCCCCTCCCATCCCCGGTGAACTTCTCTGAGGTTTCTCCAGATTCTCCATCAAAACGCCATTCAGTAGCAATTCTTGTCATCTCTCTCCCTGTTGTGTGTGCCCTTCACTTACATTTCTCTTTGGGCTACGACCACCCGTTGGTGGAGGTATGTCCACTCACCACATTCTCTACGATCATATCACTTAATCACCATCACTTGTTCTCGCTGGCGTTAAAGCGACGCTTCTCCCTGGTGCATGCTCGGCCAGCCAGGCTTGCCCCTCAGCATTGTTAAGGTTTTTGATTTGGTTTCGGTTTCTCATGTAAACTGAATCAATGGTTTTTGATTCAAAACAGACTGATGTATTTCCATTGATTGCAAAATTAGTGGAAAGGGGTGCGAGCCCGGTTGGAAAAAAAGGTTTTCGATTCGGTTTCTTACATAAACCGGATCATTCTTTCCGAAATGAGATCGATATACAGGTGGCGATTCCTCCCCCGGTGACCATTTTAAAAAACGACAGTTCTGAAAGTGGTATGGAAAGATTGATAAACTGCACACAGATTTCTAACTTGAAATAAACTGACGAACTTCACTTTCAGCAGTAAGACTCGCATCTTTTATCTGCCACTATACCCATATCATTATGCATTTTGCCTTGCACAACTAAATGCTTCTGGAACTGAAGCAAGATAAAGAGAATAGACAAATGGAAATGCCACAGCTGAAGGCTGTCAAAGCCTCACATGGACTGGAAATGTCAAGATGACAACGCTAGCTCATCGACGAGCTTCACCTCACCTGCACCGCCGCTGCAGACGCATGTAGCAAGAGACCGCCACCCTTCTGCATCCATCCAAATCCCACTCTCCGCCATCTTCTCCAAGACGAAGCAGGCTTCCTCCGCCTTGCCGTCCTCGCCGAGCCCTTTCGCCAGGTGCTTGAAGGTGTGACCTAGGGGACGATGCCCGCTGGACAGCATGGCGTTGAAAACCCGTAGCCCCAACCCGAAATCGCCGGCTCTGCAGCACCCGTCGGCCAGGACGCGGTACGTCGCCGCGCTTGGCGCCGTGCCGTCTTTGAGCTGCATCTCGACGAGCGCCTTGTGCGCTTCCTCCACCCTGCCGCTGTCACACAGGCACTTGATCAGGACGTTGTAGCTCGCGTCGTCGGGCCCGAGCTTGTGCTTGCGCATGTCGGAGAGCAGCCCCTTGATGGCGTCGACGTCACCCTGCCTCGCGTAGGCGCTCATCAGCACGCCGTAGTTCACCGCCTCGGTCTGGCAGCCCTGGTACTCCATGTCGAACATCAGTTTCTTGGCGTCGTCCAGCCGACCGGCGTCGCACAGGCCCCGCATCAGGAGGGAGTATGTCACGGCGTTCGGCGAGACGCCCCGGCGCACCATCTCTTCCTTGAGCCGCTCCGCGGCGCCCACGTCCCCTTCCTGGCACGCCGCCCCGACCAGGGTGTTGAAGGTGACCACCGTGGGCCGGACGCCGCGGCCGAGCATTTCGTCGAGCACCACGCGGGCGCCCGCGGACCCGTCCCGGCCGCACAGCCCCTTGAGGATGATGTTGTAGGAGACGGCGTTGGGGCGGACGCCGAGCTTGGCGGCCCGGGGGAGCATGTTCCGGGCGGCGTCCACGCGGCCGTTGCAGACGAGGCAGTGGATCAGCGCGTGGAAGGTGGCGTTGGAGTGGGAGCAGAAGGCGGGCACGGCGCGGAAGAAGACGAGGAGAGCCGCGTCGGGGCGGGAGGCGGCGCCGAGGCGGTCGATGAGCCCCGCGAAGACGGTGGCGCGGAGCGGGGCGCGGCGGGCGCGGAGCGCGGAGAGGAGCGGGAGGAGGAGCGGGAAGAGGCGCGCGCGGGCGAGGCGGTAGAGCACGCAGGAGGCGAAGGGGTGGTCGTGGAGGCGGCGCGGCGCCGAGAGGAGCGCGGCCGCCGCGGCGACCGGGGAAGGGAGCGACTTGAGGTGGAGCAGGAACGGGTGCGGCTCCGGCGGCGGCCGCGGCTTGTAGAGGAGCTTGCTCGGGTCGCGCCGGTGGCGGGCTCTCGAGTTCGGAAGCATCGGTGAGGCCCTTTGGGTGATTGGCATTCCCCTTGTTTTGTTTATGGGTGACTAGCGTCGAGTTGGTCGACCGGCCAAAATTTTGCCCGGTCGCCGCACGATGGAACATGGATCGTTGGATTATCTCTTCGCCCTTTCACCACGTGCTCGTAGTTTTCCACAGCTCCATTCGCTTCGCGTTGCTCTGCTCTCCACCTCATCCGTCCTCGCCCCAAATCGCCACGATGCGGCCCCACTGCTCCGCCGCGCATCCTTCCACTAGCATGGAAGCACCGACGAGCTGCCACCGCCCCATCGAGGCATTGGGGAGAGACATCTCGAGGGCTTCGCATGCGCGCCGGGCGTAGCACCCTTGCGGGCCGGATGCACCCCCTCCCGCCACCGCTTACATCTCGAAGGGCCGTTGGCCGATCTTTATTAGATAGGGAAGAGAGTTACATCATGAACAGTCTAGGAAGCTTAGATTGAACTCAGAGTTCCCAATACAACTCTGCGGAGGACTATCCTTCCAAAACAGAAACGCCCCAGCAACAACTAAGTTGGCAGATCTACGATGCATCCGGCGGCCCGCCACATGGCCACATCTTCTTGTATCCGCTCCAAGACGCCGATCGGCGAGCATGCCACATGATCAAAAATTCTGGAATTTCTTTCTTTCCATATCCTCCAGGGCAGCAAGATAACCACCGTGTCAAAGTTCCTACGTATGTGCTTGGGTATAGCGGCAACACTGTCCCACCACCGCTTACATCACATCAATCGTTGTCGAAGCCCTGCAACACTGCCTCACCCCTTGAGCTAGCGGCAGCACTGACATCACCTTGCGGTACGTGCTCACCGCAACGACGATCGTCCCTCGCTGTCTTCCCCAATTCATCGGTTGCAGCTCCATCGAGCACGATTGCGGCTCTTGCTACGAAAAAAGATGCCATAGCAAGGCTGCTGTTGGTTGCAGTCTCCCCATGTGGCCGATTACAGCTCCTCTGTCGGTCGGCTCCGGCATCTCGCGACAACGGTCGCAACATCCCAAGGTCTAGCAGGGCGCATATCCGGTTCCAGCGTGGCGGGTAGGAAGCTTGCAACAAAATGCCTCGCTCGTCCCAGCACGACAGCCCGCTGGTTTCCAACATCACGGGACCATGGTTTTAGCATGTCTGACGTTGCAGTCCGCCATAAACAGCAGGGCTGGATGCATCTTCAGCAAAAACGTCAGTTGTAGCTTTTTCAGCTGTCGGTTGCAGCTCTTGTCACTGCCATTTTCAGCATTGCTGACCGGTTGCAACTCCCATCACCGTCAGTCCCAACATTATTTTTTTGTTGGCTCTAGCATTGTTGGCGACCGATTCCAGCTCCATCGATGGCCGGTTCCAGCATTAGGCCAACTCCACCGCGCGACCCCATTTTGTCCGGCCCCGTCCGTTTGGGGTAAAAGGGACAAACCAGACAGCCCAGCACGCGGGAGCAAACGGATTTTTGTCTGTTTTCTATCCGCTTCCGACCCATCCCCGGCTCAAGTTTGCGCCGATTTTGGGATGAAACGGACAACGCGCGGATGGGCGGGACGCGCGCGCTTGTCCTCCACTGGCTCGTCTGTCAGTGCCACAAAGCAAAAAAAAACCCCGCGCCCATTTGGCGCCATTTCCCCCAAACCCTCCCACATCCCTCCCGCCGCCCCCTCCCTCCCCCGTCCATGGCCGACGCTCAGCCGGATTCCAACGGCCTGGCCATCGACCCGCCCAAAAAGGTGAAGAAGAAGGCGGCCAAGGCGCCAAGGAAGCCGCAGTCGGAGTGCACGCCGGAGGAGATCGCCAAGTTGGACGTGGAATCGGCGAAGAGGAGGAACCGAAGGGCGGTCGTCAAGGTCAATGCCATCGCGGCCAAGTTCGCCGCCGAGCGCGATGCTATCCTTATCCTAGTCTTTTTCTTGCTATGTTCATGAGACTTCGGCCTTGTATATGTTTGCATGTTCAATTGTTGTTGATCATGTGGCGTAGGCATTTCAATCTTTGGAAGCCTTCAAGGCACGGCACAATGACAAGCAATTCACTCTTGTGCATTGTTGGATGATCATCAACAATTGCCCCAAGTTCAAGGATCAATACCGTGAACTTCAAAGGAAGAGAAGCAAGAAGACGGCCAAGTTCGCCGGAGGTGGAGATGGCGAGGCATTGAAGAGGCCGGGGGGCAAGACCAACTCCAAGGTGAACGACATACGTGATGCCTCATCCATGGCCTTGCATGAGACTTTGCATGGCATGATGTCTCAAAAGGATGTGAGGGACGAGAAAAAGCGGCAAAGCAAGGACGAACAAATGAAGCAAATACCTAGAGTTTCAAAGGAAGAAGCTTGAGATGAAGGAGGCTGCCAAGAGGAGGAAAATCGACATGAAGGAGGCGTCCCGACAAAGGCAGCTCGACATCGAGGCCGCCAATGTCTCGGCCAGGCAGCGGCTGCTCGACGTCGAGGCCACCAATGCCGCAACCAAAGCAAAGGAGGTGGCCCTTGCGATCATGAGCGTGGACTTGACCAAGATGAGCGAGAAGACAAGGAGCTGGTTCGAGGCCAGGCAGAAGGAGATGTTCGATGCCGGCGGCCTGAACTAGGTCGTCCGATCGGCTGTGGCCGTTCTTTTTGAAGGCTGGCATGGGTGCCGCCCGCCCGCGCGGGCCGCTGGCTGTGTGCCAGCGAGAAACACATTCATTTTGGAGGCTGGCTGTGTTGTCGGCGAACAAAACTATTCATTTTGGAGGCTGGCTCTGTTGCCGGCGTGGACGTGTAGGCTGCTGACTCTGTTGCCGGCGTGACTAGGGTCGCTGGTATTTGAAACGTTGTTCTCTTTTTAATATGGAGGCGGACAAGATGGGGCCAAATGATGCGGCCGCGCGCTGGGCGCACGGACACCGCATCCCAGGACAGGCCCAGACACGACTCCATCATCCTATCTAAAGGGACAAAACCCGGCCAAACCAAACGTCTGTTTGGGGTCGCGCGGTGGAGTTGGCCTTACCGACGCTAGTTCCAGCACGCGTCATCCTCGACTGCAAACGTTCAGGGGGTGTTTGGTTGCTGCCCTGGAAGATGTGCCTGAGAAATTTTGATGCCTGATGTGTGCCTGAAGATTGAAGAAATTTTGCCTGGCCAAGCTGCCTGCAGTAGGTGCTGTTTGGTTTGTTGCGAGAGCCTGGACTACTAGTAGACAAGTGGGCCAGCTTCTGATCTCTTTAATCAGCACTGTTTGCTCGACTTTCGATGCCAGACAAGTGCATTTGCGCCTCCAGGCGTCCAATCTGGGTGGCCTGGTTCAGGCTAACCATGTGCCTGGACAGCTGGCCAGGCTAATCATCCTCGTATGTGTTCCAGGCCAGGCTACCAGCAGATTCATCAGGCCACCAACCAAACGGGGTCTAGGCAGATTTCAGGCACACTACAGGCAGGTATTTTTGTCTCAGGATGGCAACCAAACACCCTCTTAATGCGCTGACTCCGGCAACGACGACCTAGTGCCAGCGATGTCTCCAACAACTCCGATGGCCTGTCGAAACAACGTGTGACTACAGTTGTCGCTGCTGCAGCTCTCCCATCTTCGTTGGAGGCACTGGTTGGGGCAGAGACGTGTTACCCGGTGGACGAGGCAAAACGAGCGAGCGTTTGCTGCCAGATTTTGCCGTTAGCGACTTCCTGGAATCATTCCTCGTCACCACCAATGGCGCTGACAACCGCTACGAGCGAGAGACTGAGAGGGAGAAGAAAGATTGTTCACAGGAAAAGGAGAGTGGATGTGGTGCATTGGGGAAGAGATAAGGTAGCACTTATGGTGAGTGGGTCTCGTGTGCATATGTCGCGTTTTTTGCCATTGAACCTGTCCAATGCGCCAGCATGGGAAAAGCGACCGAGAAGCAATCATTTACCCTTGTTTATATGGAAGATCTACTTTGTTAAAAAAGTGTGTATAAGTGACCAAAATACTTAAACTAATGGAGCAACTAAGAACTGGATGTGGAGTTTCTACACCCAGGAGCAAATGCTCCTGGTGTGAACAGTAAAATCAAATAAACTAAAAAACAATTCAAAAAATTTTGAATTTTTTTTGTGCCATACTTTCACAAATGTTTGTTGTGCCTGCAAAATTTCATCGCAAAATCGTATTGGTCGAAGGCGTGGTAAAAAAACAAAATCGATGCTCCAAAAATGTTACTTACAAAAGCATTTTGGAGCTCTGATTTTGTTTTTTTACACGCTGTCCACTAATGTGATTTCACGATGAAATTTTACGTGCACGACAAACATTTATGAAAGTATGTCGCAAAATAATTCCAGAATTTTTTGATCATTTTTTCTATTTTTTTGATTTTACTATTCATACCAGGAGCATTTGCTCCTGGGTGTAGAAAGGTACTTCCGCTAAGAACTTTGTTTTTTATAAGGAAGAAGCAACAACAACCATTATATATATAAATAAACACACACAGTACATGTGAGTTTTGTATGTTGCATGTGTACTATTAGTCAAAACCGTGAGTATGTACGTGTACTATATAATATATATAAGAATATTTGGATAATATATATCCTACTTTTTAGGTGGTATGTACTATTTTTTAGTATATTGTTTTATGCGTACTAATATAAAGCCAAATCGAGAAAATAATTTTTCAGGACTGAAAATCCAAGGTGTTACGGCAGCTCAGTTCAGTCGGATTTTTTTTCTGAAGAAGGATTTGTAAAGTTTTATTTGGGATCAATTCATCATTTTATTTTTATTTTATCTTTTCTTTATTCTTTATTGCTTTTCTTTTATTTTACTCTTTAAAAATGCACTAACTTTTTCCAAACTTGATGGACTTCTGTCAAAATCGATTAACTCTTTTGCAAAAGGGATAACTTTTTAAAATTTTGTGAACTTGTTTTTCGAAATTGTTGAACTTTTTCAAAAATCAATGATTTTTTTCCAAATTTGTGAACATTTTTTCAAGCTTGATCTTTTTTTCCAAAATCAATG